CCCGCCCTCCCCTCCCGGCGCCCCAGGCTCCGGGCTGGAAGATGGCAGCTGGCTGTAGCCAAGGGCTCCTGCCAGCCACCTCCATTGTCAGCGCGGGGACCGGCTCCCACCCAAAAAGTTGCTCTGAGGTGTTGGCCGGGGGGGTCGCGGGGCTGGCGGGGCCCTGCCGGGCAGGGGCGGGTGGCTCCCGACTCGGGGGAGGGGGGATCCGGGCAGCCACATTCCTCCATCCCCCGTCTTCAGGCTTCCCCGGGCAGCTCCTCGCGCGTCGCTCTCATCCTTTTGCAGCCGAGCGCTTAAAATAGGTAAAATCAGCCCAGCAACACTGCCTGTGCGGTGCCAGCTCCCTAGCTAGGGGACGAGGTGGAGATGCGCATCGTGTTAAGGACGCTGCTCGTTCCTGTTGTGCCTTCACCCTCCTTCCTTTTTTCTTTTTCTCTCTCGCGCTCTGCCTCGCTCATACCTACATCGGGTCCACTTGTGTGTTCAGCATCCTTTAAATGCACGGTGTGTTTGGCGTCCCCGCAAGGCGCGGCGCTTATACGGACGGTGACAGGACTAGAGAGATGCGGGAAAGCTGGAACTGACTTTGGTTATCCTACTTTGTTAGCGAGGCGTGTTGGATTGAGAGAGAGAGAGAGAGAGAGAGGAGGGTTTTTGCAGAGCCTCGCGTTTCGGCGTGCCTGCGTGGGTTTACATTCTGCGTTTGAAAGGATAGCTGCCTCGTATTTCTGGTCAGGTCGTTAAAAAAAGCCTTCCCGTGCTGCTTTCGGTTCAGTGTTTCTAGCTTATCTTGAATGCTCGTCAGGGACGGCAGCTCAGCGGAGTACAGCTTTTAACCCAAACGGCTTTCTGGAACGATGACAACTGAAAAAAAAAATATTTTCTCTTCTCTTTCCTTCTTTCTTTAGATTCCCTCTCTTTGTTCAGGAGCGTAAGGTTGCTTGCTGAGCACAAGAAGATGTTTCTGTGGCTCTTTCTGCTTTTGTCGTCCCCAGCTGCTTCTACAAATGCAGATGCCGACACCTCCGTGGAAATTTGCAACGTGTGCTCCTGCGTTTCGGTCGAGAACGTGCTGTATGTCAACTGCGAGAAGGTTGCAGTCTACAGACCAAATCAGCTGAAACCCCCTTGGTCTAATTTTTACCACCTCAATTTTCAGAACAACCTGCTCATTATTCTGTATCCAAATACATTTCTTAATTTCACCCATGCGGTGTCCCTGCAACTGGGTAACAATAAATTGCAGAACATCGAGGGAGGAGCCTTCCTGGGTCTCAGCGCACTAAAACAGTTGCACTTGAACAACAATGAATTAAAGATTCTCCGAGCTGACACTTTCCTTGGCATCGAGAACTTGGAGTATCTCCAAGCTGACTACAATTTAATCAAGTATATTGAACGGGGAGCCTTCAATAAGCTTCACAAGCTGAAAGTCCTCATCCTTAATGACAATCTGATTTCATTCCTCCCTGATAATATTTTTCGATTTGCTTCTTTAACCCATCTGGATATACGAGGGAATCGAATACAGAAGCTTCCCTACATTGGCGTTCTGGAGCACATTGGGCGAGTGGTCGAATTGCAGCTGGAAGATAACCCTTGGAATTGTACCTGCGATCTCTTGCCTTTGAAGGCATGGCTGGAGAACATGCCCTATAACATCTATATTGGGGAAGCTATCTGTGAAACTCCCAGCGATTTGTATGGACGGCTTTTGAAAGAAACCAATAAGCAAGAGTTATGTTCCATGGGAACGGGGAGCGATTTTGACGTGCGCATCCTGCCTCCTTCCCAGCTGGAGCCTGGGTACAGCGCACCTAATGGCCACACCACGCAAACATCAATGCACCGATTAGTCACCAAGCCCCCGAAAACTACAAATCCTTCCAAGATCTCGGGAATTGTAGCCGGCAAAGCGCTTTCCAACCGCAATCTCAGTCAGATCATCTCTTATCAGACCAGGGTTCCTCCTCTGACTCCTTGCCCCGTCCCGTGTGTTTGCAAAACACATCCGTCTGATTTGGGATTAAGCGTCAATTGCCAAGAAAGAAATATAGAATCGATGTCTGAACTGGTACCGAAACCTTTAAATGCCAAGAAACTGCATGTAAATGGCAACTACATTAAGGACGTGGACACCTCAGATTTCATTGAATTCGAAGGGCTGGATTTGCTACATTTAGGCAGCAATCGGATTTCAGTAATCAAAGGGGAGGTTTTCCGCAACCTTACAAATTTAAGGAGATTGTACCTTAATGGCAATCAGATTGAGCGGTTGAGTCCCGAAATATTTGCTGGCCTCCACAATTTGCAGTATCTGTATTTGGAATACAATGTTATCAAAGAAATTTTAGCAGGCACCTTTGACTTAATGCCCAACTTGCAGTTACTCTACTTGAACAACAATCTGCTGAGAAGTCTGCCAGCGTACATTTTTGCTGGTGCTCCCCTTGCTAGACTGAATCTAAGGAACAATCATTTCATGTATTTACCTGTAAGTGGCGTTCTTGATCAGCTAAAATCTCTTACACAAATTGATCTGGAAGGTAATCCGTGGGACTGTACTTGTGATTTAGTTGCTTTAAAACTCTGGCTGGAAAAGCTCAACGAAGGAATTGTGGTGAAGGAATTAAAATGTGAAACGCCCGTTCAGTTTGCTAACATTGAACTAAAGTCGCTCAAAAACGAGATCTTGTGCCCTAAACTTTTAAACAAGCCGTCTGCGCTGTTCACGAGTCCTGCTCCTGCCCTCACTTTTACTACACCCCTGGCTCCAATTCGGAGCCCTCCCGGTGGCCCCGTTCCATTATCCATCCTGATCTTAAGCATATTAGTCGTGCTCATTCTAACGGTCTTCGTTGCTTTTTGCCTCCTCGTCTTTGTGCTTCGGCGCAACAAAAAACCAACCATAAAGCACGAAGGCATTGGGAACCAAGAGTGCAGTTCCATGCAACTGCAGCTAAGAAAGCACGACCACAAGTCGAACAAAAAGGATGGACTATGTGCAGAGGCCTTCATTCCTCAAACCATTGAGCAGATGAGCAAAAGTCACACCTGTGGCTTGAAAGACTCGGAAACAGGCTTCACGTTTGGTGATCCCCAAGGGCAAAAAGTCATTCTGAGAAACCTGAATGACAAGGAAAAAGATTTGTTGCATGTGGATACCAGGAAAAGACTTAGCACAATTGATGAGCTGGATGAGTTGTTCCCTGGGAGGGATTCCAATGTGTTTATTCAGAATTTCCTTGAGAGTAAAAAAGAATACAACAGCATAGGAGTCAGTGGCTTTGAGATCCGCTACCCTGAGAAACAACAAGACAAAAAAACCAAGAAATCGCTAATAGGTGGTAATCATAGTAAAATTGTAGTAGAGCAAAGAAAGAGTGAATATTTTGAACTAAAAGCTAAACTTCAAGGTTCACCTGACTACCTACAAGTCCTTGAAGAACAAACAGCTTTGAATAAAATATAGGTCATGCAATCTTATTTCCTACAGAGGACATTTATTTAATGATGAAAGTGCCTTTTGTTGACTTTTAACTTCCAAATACAATATAATATTGGTAGGCATAGAGGCAGGTGTATCCAAGGGTGTCTGATTAACTGTAGCTGCATCTGGTTTGTCAAGTAGAGGAGAAAGTCCTTAATAGATTTTACTACATAAAGCTCGTGCCCTGTGGAATCCTGTAGGGATACTGCAAACTCTATTGCCAAAGGGATGCTTTATATACACATTACACTGAATTTAACCTCAAGAGGCATATATGTTTTGTACCTTAAATGCAAAACCTTCGTCTCCTTGTGATTTGTTAGAGCAAACACAAGAAAACTGGTACCAGAGTTTGTACCTCAGCTGGGTCCTTCATCTTGCACGTGGATTAAGGTGGTGGAACTGGAGCAATCCTTTGATTTGTGGTGTTGTAATGGCACTGTTTAAAGATTATCTGAAAAGTAAAAAGCATGCAAAGAGAGAACATTCGATAGTATGTGTAAATTGGTTACATTTATGGCCTGCATCTTGAAACCACTGGATTTATAATGTTAAATTGTGCAAATATTTGTTTAGAATATACCATGCATTACATACCTATGAAATAAATCTGACCACTTGAAGCATACCTGTCTATATATAAAATTAAAAAAAAAAAAAAGAAAGAAAAAAGTTCCAACTGACGTCAACAGCATTTGTGCGATTTGAAGAAAACATTTGACATTTATGCAGAATCTAATGTATGACTCAAATCCAATTAAGACTAGAGGTCCTTCTCAGTTACATGAAACACCTACAACCCCAAAAGGTTGTCCAAAATTTTCAAAGTGCTTACTGTGTGAGCGTAGCAGAAATTATTTTTGTAATATAATTCATATTTATGAAATACTTTGTATACTAAATAGGAAGATATGTACTCCTTATTATGTATTTAATATGCCTGACTTGTTTTCCTGATCACAGTGCATTAATCATTCAATATAAATTAAAACAGAACAATATACCAAACAGAAACTGGTGATGAAATGTATAGCGTTATCTGGAATTACGTGATCAGGTCTAATGATAATAATAAAAATCGTTCTGTACTATTCTTGTGAAATTAGCATATTATCTTATTTCAGATTTGTTACCAATGGTGCATTTTAAAATAGAGTCATTAGTTTTTTAGTATTGTGTCTCAGGCAATTATTTGCCATCAGTTGTCTTGCTTTTCAGGGTTCTACAGCTTAATCTAAATAGTTTTCACTACAAGTATTTACAGGAGTTCATGAGTAAGGGTAATACTTTACGTGTATATGCATCAATTTTCCATTCTTCTCTATCTGGCGGCTGTCAGTCAGATAATCGGTCAGAACAGTAAACCATATGGCAATTGTGTTTCTTACAGCCACATTGTAAAATGAATATAGTGATCTTGGTTCAGTCCAGAGTACTTTGTAGTCTGTATCTATAAAGAGTAAAAAAAATTGCCTTTGTGGAAGTTGAATCCTGAGTTGTTAAAAAGCAAACTGGTCAGGAGAATGGAAAATAGACCTTTTTTATTTTACTGAGAGATGATAACTTCAGGTCCAAATGGGCATATTTTGGTAAAGCATCATACAGAAAAATAATGTTACTAGACTGAGCCAGAGTCCAGTGAAGTCCACATGAATTTCTCCGTTGACTTCAGTGAGCGTTGGCTCAGGTCTGCCATCTAACTTGCCTCCATAACCTTTTTTCCCCTCCACCTTTTCTAATCAATGCATAAATCAATCAAGCTGTAATAGGAAATAAACATTAATGTTTTTCATGGATTTCAAGTGGCAGATATTACAGCAAGGCCCAGTATCACCACTGTGGTTGAGGCTGTGTCAGCATTTTCCATGGTAAACCTCTAATTTCAGGACTTTATAACACTGCTGTAAAATTTTATTCTGGGATGGTATTTGGCATATAGCCTGGAGTAATTTTTTTTAAAGAAAGTTTTAAAACACTCAGTGCTTCTTTACTTAAAGAGAAAGCAAAAAAAAAAAATGTCTTTCACATTCAGCATCATTTGTTTATGCTCCTGTGATTTCAAATAGGTTTCTTTATTATTATAGTATTATTATTTTTCCCCTGATTAGGAATTTAAGATTTTTTTTTTTAAACAAGCAAATGGCCAGGTTGTTTATCTTTGAAAAAGCTGCTACTATCCATGCACAATAACTCATTTCATCCAAAATGTCATAGGGATTTTCAGGATCCGGTTATTATGCAGTCCTGGTATAAAAGGTACCTAGCTGCCTGTTGACATGATACACTGTCTAGGGCTGTGAAGAAAGTGTTTTAGTTTATTGTGTCAAGAGCCTGTGGATTAAGGCATCTTAAAGATGCACTGACATGATAGAACATAATGGCTCCATCAGCAATCTGAGGATAATGGGTCATTGTGACTCTGCCTCAGCTCAGTGCTACCCACCTTTGCGAATGTGTCAAGGTTCACTGGGATTTGTCAAGGCACAAGGCTTTTACACACACTTCACTGCATCATGTTCTCTCTCAGACCCTTCAGCTGAAAAGACCCGTCACAGCATTCATTTATTAAATATGTACTTTAATGCTTTTTAAGTCACGTTAAGGTCAGATCTTTGTGGGTGACTTTGACCTGAGTTAAATGAACGGTTGCGAAGGGTGAATGCACCTTCTGACTGGGTTCAGGTTCCCCTGTTTTACAGGGGGTAACCTGTTCTCTGTATAAGGGAGGAAGTACTGTACCATCCTTATCTTTTAATTGTACTTTTAAACCCTGGGCTAGCGATGCATTTGAGCACATGCTTAACTCTAATCCCATGCAGTCCTGGTAATCATGAGCTTAAAGTTTAGCCACTGCTGCTACTTAAGTGACTTAGACCCCTGCTACATGTTATACCCATGTCTATAGCTATATCTATCTGTAGATAGATAGATAGACAGATATTACACAATCAGCTGGTTAATCACGCAATAAATTTAGACCGGCCACACATACAAAGAAATGATCATGCCATAAACACATCTGCCCAGCTATGAAAAGAGTCAACCAGCTACAGAGTTAGTGCTTGAAAATACGTAACAACTGTATATCTGGTTTCTATCCAGCTTTAATTTGAATATGGGACAGGGCCTAATGGAAGGGTAGTTTTGTCATGGACTTCAACGAGAGCGAGCAGAAAGGCATTGCTGCATATTATCTCGCTAGAGCCCAGTTGTAGAAACTTGCGCTGATGATCGCTTTCCTCCTCGGAGTTGTCCTGTGGACTGCATGGGGCTCGGTCTGATGAGCGGAGGCTCACCAACATGAAAGGAGTTGCGTATTCTGGACCTTACCGTAGGGATCTCTCATAGTGGTTTACATAGATGGTGCAGTACCACGGCACAATGATATGATTGAAAGAATGCAGAAGCGGGCAAAACACTGTATTTCTTTGATGCTGTTGGCTTGACACTACCCGTAACGTTAGTTTGTTTCTTGCAGTGTCACGGGACAGGGTATGTGTCTGGATAACAGCTGTAGTGAAATGTTCATTCGAATCAAATGCTGCTCTATCCTGGAAAGGCACTTATCCAGTGCTGCTAAACAGACCAGACCTGTCTGCATTATACTGGAGTTGAGTGGGTGGCCATGCTGTTAAAATGGCTGTAAAGACACAAATGCAGCAGTGTGGCAGTGAAGATGTTAACATAATGTGTTCATTGTATTATAAACAGGTTTACATTATTTTTTTATGGAGTCAATAAAGTGTAATGATTTCTTTGAAAGAAAGAAAAAAAACCAAACCTTTGTGGTCAAAGTTTATCAAAAGGCAGCCATTATAATTCAGCAGCTCAAGACTGTAAGTCAATTTTCATTTGATATTTAATTTTCCAGACTGATAGTAAATACATCGGAAAGATAGTATAAAAGATCTATTTTTTTGTTTGTTTGTTGAAAAAAGCCATAAGTACAGTATAAATTATAGAAGGCACGGCCTTGTGAATAACGTTAACAGATGTTTCAGAGTTAACAAAACACATCTACAAATTGATGGTGGTATATCTATAATATCTTTTGCATGATTTGTACATTGATGCTGTATGAAATGAGCACAGTGGGATATTTTTTTTTGTTGCATCCAAAGAGTTGGGAAGGAAGTATAACAAGAATGTATTTATAATCACTCTATTTTGAAATAAAGTAAAAAAAAGTATTGTTTTTACCCTGTTTTGATCATTACTATTTTTAGATTAGTTTATAATACAAAATAGTTATCCTATCCAGTACAATGTAAAACACAGAGAAAAATTGTTTTAATGACATTTGTTTGCTTTCAAGATCAAAATATTAGACAATTTATTTAAACATTTGTATGGAAATATTAATAAAATTGTTTCGTACAATCGTATTTCTGAAACTAGACTTTGTTAAATGCCTGTAAGCTGTTTAAGAACCTTTTACAAAGAGAGACAAAAACTGAACAGTAACCAAACCAAACATTATTTTCGTATTTGTAGTTTTTGCGATGAATACTTTTGAATATTTATTCATGTTTATCCCACTGTCCAATGTTTAGACAAAATCCGGCTTACTTTACTGGCTCAAGTAGCCCCACAGAGGTCAGTGGGATTGCTTGTATTAGTAACATGAGCAGAATTTAGCCTTTAGTCAGCTTCTGATATCTTCAACACTGAGTGCTTAAAGAAACAGCCATGCAAAGCTGTTTTGATCCCCGTCCCTTCTCATTAATCAGCTTGCTTTAAAAAAAAAAAATTGGAGAAGGGGAATGAATTCATCTTTGACTTCCTCCAAGCATCCATTTATATTCCTTTTCAAAATATCTTCAAACCATTTATAGATAAAAGTCAGAAGATACTGCTAGGTAACTGAGCTCCCAAATGTAGATTTTTGTATTAAAAATGTTTCATGAAGTAGGGAAAATCTTTACGGGAGGGAAGCAGACCTGGGACAGAATTCTGTCTAGATTAAACACTCCCCTGCTGTGTTAGATTTAACATGCAGCATGATGGTAACGTCTGAGAATCAGTGAGTGATTATGGACTAGATAATTGGGAAGAGATACTGATTTTTCCATTGCTCAATGTCAATAGAATATGAACCAAAAGCGTCAGTGGTGAAAATAAAGGCCAACTCCGTGGGAGTTCCTTCAAAAGTCAGATCTTGCATATTATGGTATAAAATACATGTTGAACATAATTCCAATGGTAATTATTGAAGTTGTTGAAAGTACTCTGGGTATAAACATTTGTTTTCCAAATACAGCAGATCATTATCTCGACAGAGTCCCTAAGTATGCCTTGCACTGTCTGTAATGTATTTTTAATGGCAAAGCTAATTTATTAAACTTGTACTTTGTAGTGACTGATGCCGTGTTAAAAAAATAAAAATATGAAGGTTAATTATCAGGGACAAATTCTTCTCGCAGGACCGCTGGTGTAAGTCTAGAGTAACTCTGTTGATTATTGGCATTAAACCAACAGCGAACGTGAGTGCAGAAACTGGCTTTGTAGTGTTTGGCATCGGTTCTTATAATGATGTTTGACACCACTCCCATTCAAGCTCATGAAGAGTTTGGTTGTTGGTTTTGGTTGGAAAATGGCCAGTCCACACGCATAAAGATTTTGCTTCTACTGCCATTGAAATCAGGGGCAAAAATAACATGGACAGGATTGGGGTTGAACCCAAAATGTCTTGCAGAAATGCTATTGTCTTGTAGTGGAAGTCATGCAATAATATGAGTGACCAAATATATTAGCTTGTTGTTTTACTCGGTACTTGTTAGTATATACAGATTTGCCTTTTCTGTGGTTACATGTTGTCCAGAATACTTACAGTAGGAATTTATATATGGAATATTATTTATATTTAACAACCCCGCCCCAAATTATTATCTTATTTGAGATAAGTGAAAAATGTTATCTTTAAAAAAAGCGGATAAAAGGGGCTATACAGTAAGGATCTTTATTACTATGTGTTATTAATTATCATTAATTCTAATTATCCTTGGTTTAGATAACAGCTGAAAACAGGACATTTTGAGTACTGTTATGTATAAAATATCAATCCTTATTCACTGACTGCCACTGAATCTTATTGAGTTTTCAGTTACTTCATATTATGCTGTTCAGTAAGTTAACACTGAATATATTTTTTAAAAACACAAACATATACTAGGCAAGGGGGAAAAAAAGTCTCTTTTCTGTTGTTTGAGACTTGACTTCTACCAAATGTGAGTAGTTCAAATATGTGCACACACACGTCAGGTCTCTGGCTTGTGTTAATCAACACTGGTGTACAGACAACAATTTATGCCGCCTAGCATCTGGCCCTCTGGTCTCTGTTTAATCACAAAAAAGCCTGAGTGGTGTAAGCATGAGTTTATAGGCCTTTAATGCACATGGCAAGTATCCCCTTGTCCTTATGTCATTCCTTAAGCTTACATTTCCCAGAAATGAGCATCCTCCCGTCTTGTACTACACCATCTTCCACCTCGCCATCTCATTCCCTGCATTGTGCCTGCCCAGTTCTGTGCAATTCAGTGCTTGTTTTGGCAAAGGGCACCCTCATTTTTTGACAGCCGCAGAACCACAAGCAGCTGCAAAAACTAAGGCAAGTTGCAGTACATCAGCTCCTCTGCAATTTCTGACTCCTGTCAGATGATGGATGGTGCAATGCAGGGAAAGAACCTGCTTCTTGTAACTAGGAAACAATATAAACTGCCTTTAGAAAAAACTGGGGTTGAGCCTTTGAATCCTAAACCTTTATGGACATGCATGACTTTGACTCTGCCTAGCATCTAATATCTCCTAATCCCCAGAGGGATGGCTCTAGCTTCTCCACAGCTCTTTAATTTTGGAAAGGGAGTCTGGGGGGAAAGGGAGTACAGTGACCAAACCCTCTGAGGCCTCACCTGGATCCATTACCCACAGGTTTGGTGGCATTTTGAAGTCAGGTGTTCTGGACAAATATTTTGCTGAATCATATTTATGTCCCTATCTCAATTTAGTCTGTGCCAAGTGGACTCCATGCCTGTTATTTATTTCCCAAAATTTTGGAGAGGATTCAGTTGAAAGGTATATTGGTGCTCGGACCTGAACAGGAGCTACAACGCATGTAAATACAACTTGGTGAGGAGCGTCACCAGGGGCAGAGCTCTTTGACAGGTCTTGCAGATCACTCAATGCAAGAAACTGTAGGAAACAATGTATTGTACAACACATTTCCTTGCCTCCTGCCATGATTCATAGACTCTGTGTGTCTCTCTCTGCAGGATCTTCTTGTATACTATCTACAAGCGCCAAACAGGTCTTCAGGTTGCCAGGGGGGTATTTTGCAGTGGGGATTGACTTGTACCCAAAAATAACTTTTGAGGGGAGAAGGGCAGGGAAGAGAATTCATTGCCATTCAGAAGAATAAAACTTCTTTTATTTTATTTTCAGTAATAAAATAGGGAAAAAATTTAGAGGCCTGAAGCATGGGCATGTGGTTGGGGGATTGCCTGTATTTGACTGACAGAGACAAAACCCAAATAGTTGATTATGTACTTTCAGCAAATAACTTTCTTTTTCAAGTTACGGGCTCACTGGTATGTTGTAAACCCATCGGTGCAATGTAGGGCAGAATTTAGCCATATAGCCACATCCTAATTCTCCCTCTACTGCTCCTCTACTTGACACTGAACACGAGGGACTGAGCCTTCTCTTCTCTCGACTTCAATGGAAGTTGGGGACATCCATCATCTGCCAGGACTCAATCCCGATAGCCATTTCCTGCCACAAAAATTCAGCTCAGAAGCAACCGTGAGTCAATGGAATTGGCTGCATGAGTAACGCCTGACCCAGCTGAGAAGAGGTTTTCAGGATCTGGCTCATAATAAATGAGGATACTTGGTTTAGGGTTGTTGCTTGTAGCCGTGTTGGTCT